ATATATATATATACACATAATGTTGAATGTTTATAACAATATATTCTCGTGGAATGACAGCGTTGAGTAATATTATAATGGAATTCGTAATCAAAATGAAAGGATGTTTTACTCTTGTAACGAGAACAGATTATGGTTATTTTAAATGGGACGTTGAATAATTGGACTCTTGGTAACGAGATATGATTATATCTCTGAGACAGAAAGCTTCAAGGATATGATCTGACAGGATTCAATTTCTGGTAATTATTAAGCGAGAGAGAATTTTTTTTTCTTTTCATAAAATTTTTGAATTTTAACAAGAAAAAGTTTGCGATCGATTCTAACGTGTGAATGTTTTTTAAAGATTGTATCTATAGTTTTATTTGAAGTCTTGATAATCGTATATTTTCTATATTATCGTTTCTTTCTTTTATTTGCAAGGATATTGGTTTAGTATTGATTTATTATTGATTGATTTCAGTAGGGTTCACGCGAACTATAATTAACGAGGGTAAACTTGCAAATCCAATCTCAAACTTACAAACTCGATATCCTGTCTCAACAAATATTGTTAATTAACATCGAAAATAAACTCAGAGACAAAAAGGGCGGTAGACTATTCTGTTGTTGCACTTCCAGAAATAATTTTTCTTCAACTTAAGTGAAACTATATAAGAACGAGTCGTGTCTAGGGTTTGAGGGCAACATACTCTAAGATATTTTAGGTTTACGACTTCTGGTCTAAACGGCAGAGGAAAACCCGAAAATATATAACCCGTGTCGAAATGTCTTAACCTTCCGCGAAATCTCCAAACCGAGGTCATCCTATTATTATCCTAGGTTTGCTCTTATCTTAAAAACATTTCGTTTCTTTTTTACACCTTCTTGCAGAAACCCACGACTAGGGTGCACGGCCAAAGTAATCTTTCCATAAAAGGAAGGGAAGAATATAAGAAAATTCCAAATTTTCAATATCGTAGACTTCAACCAGCTATACGATACACACTCTTCGATATATTTGAGAAGGAAAAAAATAGAAATATAAAAAATAAAGAAAATAGTTTCCACGACTTCAAAGTGATAATGATCAAAGGGTATTCAGAAAAAAGAAATTTCATCGAAACACGATCTAATTCAAGATCTATTTTTACCTAGCGTGATCGCCAATCTCGTTTCAAAGATGTTGGATCGATCCGCATCGATGAAGCTCAATCAACAAGCAATAACAGCCTCGTCACGTGTGTTGCAGGGAGAGCGTGAAGAGCGGCCACCACTGCTGCCCCTGTCAGGCGCCTCCGCCTCCGGTTCTGGTCACAACGTCCCCCAGCGCGCGCATAATACGGCAGAGCTCGCAACCGGAAGCGTCAGCGTGCTGTTGTTCCGGATGTTGTTGCCCGTTGCACACGGCCACCGCGCCGAGTGCTGCCTCCCTGCGGCAGCTGCGCGAGCCAGGCGACGGAATCGCCGGCATCGCGGCCGACTCGTTGCGGATCAATGGAGGGATTCGACAATTCCGGCAGGTAAGCGGGGGATCTCTCCTCCCGGTCTTGTTGAAATTGGAAACCGATCGAACGAAAAGAAAAAAAAAAAGAAAAAAAGGTTTTACGCAAAAACCGGTTGTGGCACTTCATCATTTTGCACGTGCACCATGCGTCCCACACACGTCGATCGGTCGGTCACACTGTGTTTATAGAATATCCGTCCACTTTGGATTGCACACCCCCTCCACCCTCCCCTTTGTGTACATGTTTATCATATGCTTTCTCACGAAAGGGGCGAGAGGGAAATCCGGATGCCTAATTTTCTCTCTTTCGAGAGATTGTTTTAAAGCGGGGGTTGTTATTATTATTATTAGCGGGGGTTGGTTCGGGTTCGAGAAAGGGGTGTTATGGATGGGCTGGAGGGGAAGGGATAACGAGAGTTTAAGACAGATTTATGGAGGGCTTCTGTGTGGGGGGGGGGGAGACTTGTTCTATCGGTAGATCGCCTAAGGTGATTTATTTTTCGTAGATTAATCGAACTTATATAATGGATCGTTTTAAAGAGAATCTTTGAAGTTTCTACGTCGTACTTCTTTTTTTTTTTTTTTTATATCGTAATTCGTTTTATTTGGTTAGTGTTCTTTGTTCTTTCAATTATTGAAAATGTGCAAGTACTCTTGACAAAATTATTATTAATTTCTGTGAAAGAAATAAGCATAAATATTATAAGGAAAGCATGTAATGTGTTCTCGGATAAATTCTATTGTTAATTGATAAATAGTAGGAAATATAAGAAGAAGTCAAAATCGTTTTTATCTCGAAGATTCTTTAAAATTGAAATACTTTTTTTTTTTTCGCGACTTTCAATTTCATCGAACGTGATATTTGAACGAATGCAAATTGACACTTTTAAAAATAGGCATCCAGGTTCCTTTCGCACGATCGTTCGTGATGCGCGATTGATACCAGAAAAAAGAACAAAATGGAGAGACGTTCTGTTGTTAGGTGTCGCTGTGTCGTTGTTCATGCTGCTTGTATCGTTGATGATCCGTCCGATTGGTGTCTACCAAATTATCCAGAGCACGTTGTCGTGTTTTTTATCCGCGTGCACTCGCTTTGGTTTCCATCCCCCTTGTTCTCGTCGTTGTTTTCGATTCTTCTTGTTGTGTCTTCTCCCGAAGGAATCTGAGTTTTTCCGTTTCGCGCTCGAGCTGTATTTTCCTTGTCTTTCCTTTCTTTACTCTTACGTTTTTAGACGAAAGATCAGACTTAAAGAATCATTCGTTGAGCTAGGATTCAATTTTAAAGATCGTTGAAATAACTGATTATTGGTTACACGTTGGAGAAAATTTTCTTAATTTTCGATTCGATTTGAAATTGGAACAAGGATGTGTCATTCATTAGAACATTTTCTTTCTATCGTAATCTTTGGATTTCTCTCAGAGAAACAAGAAGAATATTACCAATTATTTGGACAACAATTAAACGAAAATCACAATGATGAAATATCATAGACTCGAAAATTTGAATCATTTAAAAAAAGCAAAACAATAAGAATATATTTTTTTAGTCAAACGTTATAAGCACAATGTTCCAAAAAGATGAAACCACATCGTATTCAAATCTTTTCCCGGGAATAATCCTTTTTACCGGTCAATCGCGTGTGCTGCCATCTAACAGAGGGTTGAAGCATCGACTGGAAAACAACCCTAAGCAACCTTATATCCCGATACCGACGGACGTGGCGGGCAAAGTGAGAATCGATACTTGACAAGGAGTTTGCCGAGTTTGCCTGACGAAACGTTCGGTTGCTGATCGTAGATGGCACTGTGTGATGCAGAGAATGATTCGTTTCCGAAAGTGTGAACATCTCTCGTACCACTTAGAATTGGCAAAGAAGCACGACGAGTTGGGCAGGGAATTGTCATCGATTGCTCGGCAATACGTGCAACTTTGCTCGATGTAATAACAGGCGGAATATCAATACGCCACGAAATACACGTTCGAAATAATTGATGAGATTTATATAAACGCGGAAACGAAACGAAATATTATTTGTATCGTTGATGGATTGATTCGAAATTTTTGATATTTCGTTTCATTTGAAATTGAGTTACATAAACGGAAGGAAAGTTATGACGAAATGATGAAATTTTTAAAGCGTTTGAATGGAAAGCATGAAAAGCATATTTGATTTGGATCTATAACGATTTCGAGAAAGAATAAAGAAAAACAGGAGGTGAGTAAGAAGACAAAGATGAATGAACGGTTGTCTTTGCGAAAATTTTTTCAACATTAATTATTTTTACATGAATATCGTTTATCAAAATTCGAAGAGATAATTATTTTATATATTCGTTAATTCCATTATTTATAATATTTATACATAAATTCCATTATTTATATATAAAATAAGCGTGTAAATTTAACATTACAACAGAATATTTGAAACAATTAGAACTAGTCTCCAATGTTACAAACGAACAATTATATTATACCGTCAATAATTATTAATAATAAAACGGACGAGCGCGATCCAAAAATAATCAAGAACCTGCTTACTCAGCGATGAAATTTTCGTCCCTTCACATATAATCGCAAAAAGACGCACACTTCCAAAGAGGAGGGTAATTTGTTTATTCCCAAGAGTCGTCCCTCGACGAAATGAATCTACCGTCGTCATTAAACGAGATTCTTGCAAAGAGAAAGAGAAAGAAAAAAATAAAAAGAGAGAGAGTCAGACTAGAGAGGAAGAGGAAGAGGAAGAATCAAGCGAGATCTCGACATTGTTAGTTTAATTATCTCTCCTCGATGCGACGACGAAACGCCTCGTATCATACTTAGGACACTTAGGACAACCGGGAATGGAAGGAGCGGAAAAGAAGGGCTTTGTATGCGATTCTGGCCGGAAGCCAGCGGATTATAATCATGCTTCTGCATGCCGTGCACCAAGGTTCGCGATATACGACACGAGAGATAATTGAGACTTTTTCTTTTTCATTTTTTTCGTTCCATCATTTTTCCCTCCCTCTTCACGTTTCATTTTTCAGTTACGTTTCTTTTTACAATGTACAAGTATACTTTTTTGATCGACGCATCGAAAAAAAGAAGAGAATTTGAAGAGAACAGCACGGGTTAATGAGGATGGGTCTATTGGTCTATTTTCGAGGGACGAATCGGCTGAGACTGTTTGAGAAAAAAATGATCCGCAAGGATGAATTATTCATGACGTTTTGGTGGAGTATAATATTTCAAGATCGATGCTCTTTTATGCGCTTATCGCGACGATTTTTTTTGTTCGGCTTTTTGCTGCTCCAACTTATGGCTGACCTGTTCCACTGCGCCCACTTCGAATTATCGTATCCTCTTGTATCCGATGATATAAAGAACGTACGTCACAATATTTTGTCTTCTAAGTGTTGACGATAATTTATCGGAAATTTATCAAACTATTTCCTTTCTTCTTTAAATCTTTTCATTCATTTAAGCATCGAAACGAAGAATTAAAAGAAAAACGATTGCGCACCGCCGTGTATAAATTTTGTAAGAAATTGTAACATTGAAACTTCGAAAAGAATTTCGTCCCCTCTCTTTTATAATTATTTATATAATTTTCAATTTTGTGCCAGTTTCGTACGTTCTATATTTTTCTTCTTTGGGGGGACTAGTCAATGCAAACTCGTCGAAGGGAAGAGAAATGGCAAGTTTCGTGCCGCGCCGCTATAATGATGTTGTAAATCTGAAACGGTGCACGTGTTTCACGTCGGTGTAACTGCATCCTGGGAAATGAAGCGGATGGGATCCGGGATTTTAAAAGCAAGGACAGCGGTTTTTATGTTTTTATCGCGTGCAGACGATCTTAAGCACGCCCCGCTTTGGGGAGTTCTTTTTCATGTTCGTGCAAAATCTATCGGGATGCACTTAAAATGATTCCTGCATCCCCACCACCGATAAATTTCCTCCATTTCGAAGAGTGACAGAGGAAAGGGAAAGAGAGAAAAAAGAAAGAAGGAAAGAAAAAGTTTGAAAGCCCAAAATATTTGGAAAAAATGTTTCAGACGAAACTCTTGATAAATGCTTTTTTTTTTTTTTAGTTGTACATTATGTATTACGTATATTTGTATATGTATATATACATATTTTTTATTAAAGACATCATCAAGAGGAATTTTAAAATTTCGAGAAAGTTCCATTGTACAAAATTTTCCACTTTGATTTTCTTTCTGTACTAACCACACTAACTTGTATACACTTTGAAACACATTTAGCCGGTTGTACCGTAAACTTTTCTAAGGAAAGTTGTTGGAAAAGTTCTGTAAAAACACGCTTGCATCCTTTATTTTACTGACCGCGGTAACATTTCGCTGTTTTCCTCGTGTTTAATATTTTAATCTAATCACTTTTCTCGTTTTCCTTTTTTTTTTTCTTTTTTTTATTCGAACCTATCCCTTATTCTGGTCAACGGTGTTAACACACAAAACTAATTAACGCAGCATCAAAATATCCTGTTGCAAATTTATATTTATATTTGCCACCTTTCGACAAACACACGTGGACCTACATTTCACATCAACACTGTATAATTATAACACAATTATAATATTTAACTCACGTATAACTATCAAAGTGTAAGTAGTATAAAATGGATTTTAGTTTTGGAGAAACTTTATCCATCCTCGATCATGTAATTAATCGTTATATATCGTGTCAAAATTTTTTTATTACAGTTAGTATTCACTTCTACAAGAAATATCCATCGTTATCAAGCAAAATGTTTACTTAACGTTGATTCGAAACTCATCGAATTTGAGTTGAAATTTCAAATTTCACTCTACCAAATTCAAAGAGATCGAAACAAGTTCTCCGACAATATTCGATCGATAATCAACCGTGAATAAATTTCTCTTACAATTTTGCTCGCTGTAAATGTCCCACAGGAGAGCGAGTATCGAAGATTCTTCAAGATTTCAATCAATCGTCGCGTCTTGATCGCGCCCTTGGATCGAGCGATCAAGCGAGCCTCCTCTCTTAGCTCCTTA